TATATATATATATATATATATATATATATATATATATACAAGGGTGTATAATATATACTTCTAGATTTACAGAAAAAATGTGGAAATCTTAGGACAGTCAGCTTTATTCCAGACAAGTAAACACAGTATATCTTAGATTTATGCAAAAGTTATCTACTTTACTTTTCTACATCCATAATCTTCATCCACACCATTAAGAAAGGAAAAACACTTTTTACCCTACTTGCACAAAAATAATACCCCTGACAAAACAAACTGGTAATTAGCAAGCAGTTGTTTCCACAATAATTTATCAATTCACTCCTAAATTAATTCAGTGATCAACATTTTTAGAAATTTCAAATAATATTGGTAAAGGACTGGTAAATGCATAACATTCCTAAATGTTAAGTTTTTGTGTGTTTGCTTGTTAGTTTTATGAACTTATTTTGTAATAAAAGTGTTTATATCTATTGTTTTCTCTCAATATGGACTGCTGGTGAAAAGCAAACCCAAAATGCGCTCAGATACTAAAGTGTTAGTTTTGGACAGAACTGCTTCAATCACCTTACAAATGTTCAAATTTCAGACAAATATTACATACCGTATGTGTATTGGTCTAATTGTGGAGACTTGAGGGAAGTTGTGTCTCAGTTGATTTGCTATGTTTCTGTAGAAAAATAAGTCATTTAAAGAATCAAGTCTTTTATTATGATTATCTTAGCTGTTCTGAAAGCTAAACACAGACCATCGACTGATATGATTACACTTCTATAAGTCTGACAGGCTCATAGCAAACGATTCAGACAGATCAGATTGTTCTGAGGACCACAACTAGAAAGTAAGCTTACTTTGCATTAAATACAACATAGCAGACCTAACTGTAGGGGATTCTTATGTTATTTCTTTTAGCTTGAATAATAAAAAATAAAAAAATTCAGAAAACCTTAACTATGAAGCCACAAATAAAACTGAGACTTGTTCTTGCAAGCATCTAGTTTCGTTATCATTGATCCCCACTTGGATCTAGGTGATTAACAATAATATAATATAATATAATATAATATAATATAATATAATATAATATAATATAATATAATATAATATAATATAATAGAATAGAATAAAATAGAATAGAATAGAATAGAATAGAATAGAATAGAAAATCCCTTTATTGTCCAACAATGGGGGGAATTGTGGTATTACAGCAGCAAAATATTATAGTAGAAGTGGTCACACAATGTGCACTTTAGAAAAGTGTATAAAAATAACAAATAGAAAAATAAAACAAATTGTACTGTACAATGTTTTCACAATATAAATACTCTGTATCTGGAGAATTTAAAAAATCAGTAAAAGCTGTGGACATTTTTTACAGTAATGCATATGTGAAAAATTGCAGCAACACTAGAAATGTGCATGTTATTTAACTCACTAAGATAGAAACTGATAGAAAAGAGGAAGGATCTGTGATAATGCTTCCTAGTGCATTTAGGGTGCAGCAGTCTGTCACTGAAGAAAGATTTCCAGTTCAGCAACAGCTCCTACATGCGGTGGGACATTATCAAACAGAGATGTTAATATAGTTAGGATCCTTTTGTCAATAATAAAGAGAGATTTTTCTTGTTTTTTCAATGATTATTTTCATTTGGTTTTACTAAGTAGCATTGGAATTGTTTTAACCAACAACAGATTCATATCTAGTATGCTGATCTGATAAAACATCATCAGTGGAAGTAGCAATCTAAAGGCTAATTGTTCAGCTCTTCCTGTTTCATTCTTTATAGCAATGAAAGACTATTCAATATGCTGATCTCTCCTTATAGACAGGTATGTAACACCTAATGCATGGTACCTTTAATATTGTTTTTTTTTAAGATTCCGACCATTCTAACTAAAGGTTGTTGTGTTTCTCTAAAATGAGGCTTCATTGATTCAAAAAGCTGATTTAGTGTGGAGGAAAATATGTTTTATGGTAGTTAGAAAAGTTCATAAACTCCCTAGTTTGTGCAAGAACTGGTCCGTGCATATTTTCCAATAAAAAATAATAAAGAAAAATGTTTTGATTTCTCATATGAAAATAAAGCTATCCCCTACAATGGATTTAGCACTTGTGCCACCAATTACCTGAAATTAATATGAACCAGCTCATGGAAAAATACTCCATCATGTAAAATTAGGGCTTAAAATGAATAATATGAGGATTATAAATGAATAAAACATCTGTGTCAGAGGTTTCACTGTTCGCCCTCTGAAACATAATGCGATGGTCATGCATAGATGATGGTGCATTAGTGGTAATTACCCACCCTTCATAGGGGCCAGGGTGGCAAACTCTACATGCGTTTTTCCTAATGATCAGCAAGAGCTGGCCATCATGATGAGCAGCTTAATTCTTCTGATCCTATCTGCCGCTCACATCAATGCAGCCTGCAGTAGCACATATGCTTCAATATTATTCTTTTTTTTTTGCCAGTTATTTGGACACATTTGGAGCGAAAAGTTTCTTAAACATAAAATTTACTAAATTTATTCAGACTTTCAAAAGATGCTTGAAAAATAATCTAAAAAGAAAACCATCTCACTTTTTTACAGATAACAATTCTTTATAGATAACAGGTTGGAGCAAAGTAAAATTTAATTACAAATTGGTTTCTTAATAGATTGAATATATTAACAATAAAAAAGGAATGATACTATTATATAGTATCTAAATCT